TCTGAAAATAATTATACCATTAATATCTTAAACTTGTACTACATCATTTTGAAAAGTGCACAGCTCCCATCCAATGAATTCTGTTCAGTCCCTGAAAAGACCAGTGATGTCACTCGGGGTGCACAGTTAGACGACATCAGTCAATGACACATAACACCGGTTAGTTTTGAATTAAAGTTACCTTTTTATTTTTTCTTATTCCTGATCATTTACAGCACAAAACCCCATCCACAGCTCTGACATATATTCATTATTCGAAAAGCATTCGCTCCGCTCTCTCGCCAATGTAAACAGGGAAGTTAACAGTGAGGTATCCATGACAACAGTGGGTGGAACGGACAAAGAGCCCCCCCCCTCCTCCCCTCCTGCTGGCTGCCTTCACATCTTCATTTAACATGGCTAAAATCAAGTGCAAAATCAGTTTGTCGGAAGAAATCTTGGTGAAGCTTATAAACACAACTACAATCCACATTAAAATATGTAATAACTGCCAAAAATATTATAGAAAAGTCAATCTTGTCCCACAACACACTAAAAAAGTAAAGTAGTAATAGTAGTGGTAGGCTGATACATGAAGGAATTCTTGTGATATTTCATTCACTGCAATCCTCTCTGCGGCCTTGAAAGCAACCAGCACCGCCAGCACAGGACGTCATGACGATCTAATACTTTCATTTATTTTTTGGTTGGAACAAGTGACAAATTCTGTGAAGTATTATAATACAATTTATTTGCCATTCCTTCAAATTGTATAACCTCAAACAATGCATTTTTATTTTTTTTTATGTGGTTTGCATTTTTTCAGCAATGGCTGTTTAATGTATTTACATTACGTAGAAGTAATTTCAATTGTTAATGGCGGGGTCCGCCATTACTGTACTGGATTCTAATTGCCTTCATGTGTGCAAGGTGCAGTGTTGAGGCAGTATACACAGCACTTAAACTAACGGAGCTAACCACTAGCTCTTAAACATACCCCCCCCCAAGATTCTTCACTTTCCAAAAAGCTTTCCAGAGAGGTTAAAGTGTCAAAAGATTCAAACATTTTGGAGAAATGGCTTCTCATTTTATTGCCCTAACCTAGTTATTTGTAATGTAAGTACCTTGTAGCACTTCAATAAGCGGGATATTGTCCATACATGTTACTATGTACACCAGCGCACTTCACAATGTGTGAAGTTGTGATCTGTGCCAAACAAGTGACACGCGTCCTGGGCAGACTTGTCCTGCAGGCTATGGGAACAGCGTCCCATTCCAGGTGTGTTTGTCTTTGCAGATGTTGTTATCCCTTGTTACTTCACCACAACACTGAGGCATTCAAACAAGTGCAGAGCATCTGATTTTAAAGGGGACAAATTGTGATCATTTTTAGGTTATACTTGTATTTTGTAACATGTTAACATTCTTTAATGCAAAAAAAAAAAATAAAAATAAAATACTGTTGATTTTTTCAGACAGACATACTGACATACTGTCTGTCTGAATATATCTGTATTCTAACTCTGTCTGAAATGCTCCGTTTTAGCGCCTGTCTCTTTAAGAAAAAAAAGAAGAAAAGTATATTCTAATGAGCCTGCATGTGACGTAGAAAGGGGAAGCAAATCTGATTGGCTTGTTTTCTGATCTAGACAGCGCACACAAAAAACTGACTGGGTTGTCTTATATCACAGTTTGTGGGTTGGCTCCATATACCCAAATGTATGTGCACAAGCACTAATATGTCCCCTTTAATGGGCCAGTGTGTAGGATTTAGTGGCATAGCGGTGGGGATGCAGATTCAGTACTGTGGCCAACGTGAAAACGCAAATGGCTCTCTCTAGAGCCAGTATTTGGTGTGTCCGTTCTGGGCTACTGTAGAAAAATATATAGATATCCATATATCGATGTAAGGTGCTCTTCAAAGGTAACGGAAACACAACAATTCTTATTATCAGATGATTATACGCCAAAGAAAGCATACTTAATATTATTGTATTCCATTTCTGCCAAAAAGATCCTATGCTACAAACTGTTCCTTTAAGTAATACGTTTTTGTTTTTGAAGGCGAGTGTGTGGTTTGATTGACACAACTGTGTTAAGATTGCAATCTAAAATCAGTTAAATCGATAATCTCCAACATTTCTGCCTCCATCTCAACACATTAGGGGTGATAGGAAAAAAAATCATAATGAGCTTGTTGTAACAAGCATGTTAGAATGCTGATGTTAGCATTTAGCTCTGTCTCAGTACAGCCTCAATGTTATGGCTGTAGACTCGAGTCTGATTTAAATGCTGCCTTTGAGTGTCGTGAGAAACACAAATGCAATTCCATAACAATCTCCGTTTTAATGAGGTGGAGGCAAAAAATCTTAAAACAAATTAAATCAACTATGGAACCACTTGCTACCGTTTATATTCTGAAGCTTTTATCCCAAATACATGGTCGTCATCAGCAGATCAAGTTAGCGAAATCCATCCTTTATATCGCACAATGTTGAAATAACGTGATATGGTTGAAAGCTCTGGAAAAAGCTTGAAAATAAACCTTTGGTTTGAACTTCTGGAGTAAACTCTGCTCTCCCACAGCTTTCTATTGGCTTCATGGAAGACGTGCCTCTGGCTCGATTTACCAACAGCCAGTGTGTGTGTGTTACGTGTGCTTGAGCAAGGCAGCGACCACTTGACCCGCTGCTCATTATTCTGTGCATCCATCCGAACAAGTGCCAAATGTATAAAATCCCTTCCGTCCCAGGAGCTGTGGAGTTATTGTGAAGATTATTTTTGCTCGATTAATATTAGATTCTCTCGCTTTTTTTGCTGAATACGTGTGGCTTTCATCCTCGAAATCTGTTTCAGTCAGTTAAATATCTGCCCAGAGTTGCTCAAGATGAGTCCAGGTGTTTTCAGCACAGCAGCCCAGCTGATGCAGGAAGTGATGAGTAATGACAAGTGGGATGTTGTTTAACTGTCTTTTTTGTTAGTGCCATGGGAAACCTGTGGAGCAATATCAAATACATAAACTCCTGAGTGTGGAATGTTTCAGCAGGTGTGAAATGTAACGTAACACTGGATTTTAAAACACGTTATGTCTTATGTTGAGAACAGGCGTTTTTTGAAGTCAATTTCTCATGAATACAAAAAAGTAATAATTGTAACTACCTACCTCTAATCATGCAATAAAATGTCATAAATATACTTAGTTTTTCATAATTATGGCTGAGTAGCTTATTTTTGTGATTTATTATGAGATATGCCATACATTGAGTTATGTTAAAAAAACTCATGAATATTTATTTGACAATGAGACTCAACTATGAGAAATGTTCCCATAATAATGAAAATACATCAGAATTATGAGATAGATTAGATATAGGTCAGAGTTCTCTAATTATGTATAAAGTATACCATTTCTTTGTATGTCATAATTGCTGCCATAAATATGGTATGCTTAGTGATTACTATGAGATACTACATCACATCTGATAATTATCAGATATCACAAAGATAAGTCATAAATTACATTAATAGTTCATTAAAGTTTCCCATAATCATGAGACGCTCTCTCATGGTTATGAATTCCGAAATTTATATAATTAGAAACTAAATCAGACTCATGAGATACCTCATAAATTCTAAGTCTACTTCTCCTAGAATTTAAAGTTACTAACTCATAATTATAAGAGTGAAATCATATAATTATGTGATACTATCATATAATTATTAACCAGAAAAGTCTTACATTTTCTCACAATTAGTAATCATAATTCTCATAATTATGAGAGAACGTCTCATAATTATGAGGGGTGAAAACAATTGCAAATGACAATGAAAGAAATCTTAACAATAAATGGATATGAGATACCTCAATTTACAAAATATTGCCATAATCACAAAATAATAAGTCATAATCATAAAATAAAAAGTTACAATTATGTGGAAAAGAAACTTCCTAATAAACCAGGTATATTGTTCTTTTTTTCCAACTCAAATGGTTTCCATAGATCTCTTTTCAAAATAAAGGTTGTGGTTAAACCAAGGCACTTTCATTACCACACCAAAATATATGGCAGTAGGTGCTTTTTTTGCTGTAGTTCTTATTTTTTCCTTAAAGCTACTATGAGGAATGTTCATTTTGTGTTCATTTTGGCAGCCCCTGTGGACCAAAGCAGTACTGTTTCCGAGCACCAGCGTCCCTTTTGGGAAACCTCTCATTTTACTGTACCATGGTATGACAGTCTGCCCCATGCAGTCCTCGTTCTGGTTCTCCCGTGCCTCCTTTCCCTCCCAGCCGGCCCAGCAATACGGCCTGTGCCTCCAGCAGCGTGGTATCGGTGTCGGCTCCCAGCGGACCGGCGATGTGAAGCTCTGCTCCTGGCCGGAGCCACGTCAGTGACTGTAAGGTCAAAGGTGGCAGTGAAGCCGGATCTGGGTCTACCCGCGGCGGGCTGGGGCCCGGAGTATGAGTGAAAGGAGTTTCTGGTGAACCTGCATGATTTTGCTGGAATCGGACCCACTGGCAGCAATGATGAGCGAAATAACTACATAAATAGCCAATTTAGTTCATATAGAGTCATCGCTTTTACACCTCCGGTTTTGCCGAGTGAAGCTGATGCGGAAGTGTCTTAAAATTTGCATTCTCTCTACTGACCAGGAGGGGGCGACTCCTCTGGTTGCAAAAAGAAGTCCGATTGTATAGAAGTCTATGAGAAAATGACTACTACTCACTTGATTTATTACTTCAGCAAATATTGTAAACATAAGTTTATGGTCTTAATCTCTAGTTTCAAGTCTTCTTCAATACAGCATGATGTAAATTATGGTCCATTTAGAGTCAAATGGACCATAAAGCAGGGTATGCTTTAGGGCGGGATTACTATGATTGACAGTTCGTTGCTGCTACCAGAGCCGTATACGGTGTCTCTACGTAACTCCTCACCATTCCAAATATGGTAACTTCTGTTCATTGGTTTGCGAAAAACAACATGGAGACGGCCGTAATCCAAGATGGTGACTAACTCGAGGCTTCAAAACGTCAGTCCACAAACCAGTGGGGGACGTCACGACGACTACGTCCACTTCTTATATACAGTTTATGGTTTTACATTGTGACTGTTTCATAATCAGTTTAAAGTTCCCCATAGTAACTATAAATTACCTCGTCGGAGCATCTCACACTCTTGAGTTTACATAGTTTGTTTTGGAAGTCCCTTATCTTGTAGGTTGGCTTCTTTCCTAACTTGTTAACACTGTATCCTTTCAACTATCCTTGTTGGATAGCCCATGTCATATTTGCTATTAGACCTCTTCTTGTAATCACATCCATACGAGTGTGTTACAAACTAAATTACTTCTGCATTACTTTTTTTAACCATTTTATCTCACAATAGTTTATTGCAGGTCCAGAAACCTTTTGAAAATAATCATTTTGATTCTCCACAAACCAACACGAGAGCAGTGACAGTCAGGTGCTCCTAACATTGCACATGTCGGATATTTTAGTGCACGTCTTCTGACGTCCATGACTGCTGTCAGACCAGCTTACGAGACGTTAAGCACTATTGTTTTCCCCACATCCGCTCTTATTTCAACACACAGGTCTATGTACAAATGAAGTTGGTATTTGAGTGAGTTTGGTTGTGACCATTTGATGTAGAATAGTTAATATGGGGCTTTTGTGAGAGATGTTAGGAAATGTACGTATGTCCTTGGTAAACATAGATAAAGAGAACTCTTGAGCCTGGAGAGTAGAAAAACAAACTTGTTCTGTAACTGAAGGTCGCTGGTTAGATGCCACGTCTGGATGGAAGGGCTCCTTGAGCAAGGCATGTATCCCCTGTACCAGGAGACTGTGGCTATAGTGAGCGAGTTCCAAAGAAAGAAGCATGCAGGCTCATTGAACCATTCCTGGATAAAACAATCAAGATGGGCCTGGTGTCCATCTCAGGTGACAATGGGTGTAAAATGCTTGATAAAAAGAAAAAAAGTCAGATCTTGCTGTTCTCCAAGTGGGAGTCGATGTGTTTGATGAGGGCGTCATCGGGGTAACCGGTTGGGAAGGTCAGCTGACACAGAGGACAACTCCGGACAGCACTTTCTTCTGACTCCATCCACAACTACAGACGGAGATAGACACAGGCGTCAAATTACTGAAACTTAAATGATGTGCAAAATCACAGAATCTAATTTAGTCTTCACCTAAATTACAGAAAAGCTCTGTATTCCATCAGAGGATGACAATTTGTTCAAAGTTGCTCAGAAATTATCTTTAAAAAAAGCATTATTTACCAGTTTGTTTTGTTCTTTAGCTTACGCTTGATAAAGCTAATGCCACGATGAAGCTATTCTAAAGCTAACGCTTGATAAAGCTAATGTCATGATGAAACTATTTTAAAGCTAATGCTTGATAAAAAAATAATGCCTCCGATAAAACTATTTAAAAACTGATAAGGCTAAGGGGGCGACTGTGGCTCAGTGATAGAGCGGGTCGGCGGTTTGATCCTCAGTAATCCTCTGCTAGTCCATGTCGATGTGTCCTTGGGCAACACACTTAACCCCAACTTTCTGCCGTCGGCTGTGCTGTGTGTATGAATGCGTGTGATTGGTTAGACAGTCCTGATGGGTCAGTGGGTGAATGATATCCAGTGTAAAAGCATTTTTGAGTGGTCGACTAGAAAAGCTCTATACAAGTACAGGTTCATTTACTATTTACCATCTTTAGATCAGTTATCTAGTGGATTTTGTGTTCTGGTGCTATTTAAGTTATTCATTTTTAGTGTTTTCCGTTTTTCTTTCGTACTCATCTCTTTCTTTGCAGAAAACGTCTTTTCCCGCCTGTCAGATTGTCTGCCCCGCCCTGATTGTTTTCACCTGTCCCTCATTATCACTCTCCTTTCCTTGTCTATTTAGTCTCTGTGCTCCCGTCTCCTTGTGCCAGTTCGTCATTGTTCTTTGACGGTTCCAGCCTTTGTTTTTGTTTATAGTGTGTAGTATTTTAGTATCAGTGTTTGGATTAACCTGTCAGCTACCTGCTGGACCTTTTGCTTTGGAATGCGAGTTCATTTCTACAATAAATCATTGAGCTTATCCTGCTGCCTCCTCTTAAATTCACCTGGGTTTGGCTCCAAAACCTTCAACTCCTGATTTGTTACAGCATGGCTGCATCCCAAATGTCCATTTATTTTTTTAAATTGTTGTAAAAGGGTACAAAAGAAGTCAAGGAATATGTTTTTCTATTTTTATAAAACGCTGGAAATAATAAAATGTGTATATAAATATATATATTTATCTGATTAATAATTGATTAATCAAAGTAATAATTAACAGATTAATCGATTATAAAAAAAGCTGGTATTTGCAGCCTTAATTTCACATTTAGCCTCTAAAGAGCCAGATGTTTTTCTTCAGGAGTTGGTGGAGACCAAACCAGAGGAAAATGGGGACTGAATTTTGGAGTTGAGCTCGATTTATATGGGTTATGGTTATAAGAGGTTGCGGCATAGTTATAAAGTCTGTTGCTGCTGATGTGACACAGAGATAGCAAGAACTGTAATTGGTCGGCTGGTTGATGGGGAAGGCATCATGCAGTACATTTTTAGAAATGCTTATTGATCCGACTCCTTCTAGGAAAAGATCTAACAAAAGCATTACACTCACCACGACTGTCGCTCATATTCTGGATATTCCTGTCGTAAGATTTCTTGGCGGTAATGAAGTTATTTTGTTTTGCTTTAACCAATCAGAAGTGTGATGCATCTGTCTCGCCCTCCATTTTTACAACATGTTTTTCAACATGGTCAAAGAAATGTGACAGTTTAAAAGTTAGTGTATTATTGACATGTAACAACTTGGACAGCTGCTTTATATCATCTACGCTTGTCGTTATTTTTTCTATTTTTGCAAAATGGGAATAGGATGTCTTCATTGTGAATCCTTCTAATCAAACTGATTGGTCGAATGTCGCTCTCCGACTTGGCCAGGTAAGATTTTGTTATGGTGACCCTCCTTAATTTCTGTACACACATGTAACAACTGCTGAACTATTTCATTGTCAAGATCATTGTCATCACATAAGAAATTGTAATTATTATTATTTTTTAAAGCAGAAGATAACCATTTATTAATAATTCCAAGTGAAAAAAAACAACTTGTTGACTGAATGAGCTGTGCCAGAACAGTGTTCTTAAATAGATAGAGTATGGTTACAAACTATTACAAAGTAAATAGCTATAAAGCCTAGTATAGAAAAGTTTTGCCAAACAGATATAATTACAATCAATAGATAGAGATTTATTTTTATTGAACGCAATTGCAGTCACGTTTCATGCAGAGTGGCCTTTTAAGTACACTGAAACTGTATTTTGCATCAACATTAACTATGGACAACATGTGTTTATTGTTTTTGTGTATTACTTTGTTGTGTTGCAGCCTAGAGACAAAGTAAAAGTCCAGTCATGAACAAAATGGATTAAAGATGTGAGGCTGTGTTTTAGTTGTTAAAATACATTACATACATGTTGATATTATGTAAGTGTAAGTTTGTAGTGATTGGTCTGCTCTGATTGGCCAAAAAGTCCCATTATTGCAGCTTTAAAAAATCAAAAATCAAAACTTATTTAGCTTATTATTTTAGGTGCTATGATGTTCTAAATATACAGGACTCAACTTTTAAAAGTGGTTGCCACTCTGGCAACCAGGCATCAGCTTTTGGTTGCTGAAACTGACAATGGAGTGAATTGTTTTTTGCTCGTCTCCCCGCAAGGTCTGCAGTGATTCTATTAGTTTCTTCTATACAATCCTCATAATTGTTTTCTACTCACGTTGATGGAGGGCCACGACTGAGCGTGCTCGGTGGTCATGTAGGGAGGCAGATGGCAGGAGAGAGGGGCAGGACCCTCGGGGGACGAGAAGGAGGGATGGTGGGGCTGTTTCCTAGGAGACGAGAATGAGCGGTGCAGAGGTGGTTCCCTAGGCAACGACGAGCCAATCCCAATTGCGCCAAGCGTCCGAGGCGGGCTGGCTGCCGGCGACAGATATGTACATACATCCTGTATATTTACATGAAAAAAAATGAATAAACCCAGCTTTAAAAGTCACAAGTAGTGCCACGCACATCGTTATTGTCATCATCACCTCTTCATCATCAGAGGACTGCGGTGGTGTCACCAGTGGGGCGGGCTCAGGCGGGTTCTCAAGACGACGGAAGTGATGTACCTGAATGAGAGGAGGGGCGTGAGCATTACTACTGTAGTTTACAGGACTGTAGAACAGTGTATGACATGTTGCACACGTAGTGTGTCTGCGGTGTGGTCTGCACACGTAGGGTCAAGCTACATGCAACCAGGCAACATCCGGTTCTGAAGAGTAAAGCCAATGTGGAACTATCTTAAAACTTGCATTCTCTCTACTGACAAGCAGGGGGCGACTCTTCTGATTGCAAAAAGAAGCCTGGTTGTATAGAAGTCTATGAGAAAATGACTCTACTTCTCACTTGATTTATTACCTCAGTAAACATTGTAAACATGGGTTTATGGTCTCAATCTCTAGTTTCAAGTCTTCTTCAATGATGATGACATGATGATCATTTCGTAAATTATGGTCCATTTAGAGTCAAATAGACCATAAAGCAGGGTATGCCGCTACCAGAGCTGTATACGGCGTCTCTACGTCACTCCTCTGCATTCCAAATATGGTAACTTCTGTTCATTGGTTGCGAAAAAAACATGATGACGGCCGTAATCCAAGATGGCTTCATAACAGCAGTCCACATACCAATGGGTGACGTCACGATAACTACGTTCACTTCTTATGTACAGTCTATGCATGCATCACTATATGGCCTCAGCTGTGTCAGCAACAGGTGTACACAGCTAAAAACGTTTTAAGGATGCTCCGGTCCAGTTTTACACATCCGTTGCAGAAACTGCATCGAAATTTTGGTTTGGTATCCTGACAACTCCTGAAAAGATCGATTACAGATAATAGTTTTTGTTACCTTTTTTCCGATGCTTTTGTGTCTAAGTGACTAATGGGGACACTAATTTATTTGTTTGTTGTGTTGGGGAGCAGAAAAGCATAGCTTGGTGTTTTCTAAAAGGATTGTCATGTCATGGATGAAGATTTAGCTGATTTCCATAATGTGGTGCAGCATGAGATTTCAGAACCAACGCAGAATAGTAAACGCACCAGATCTAGTGAAAGCTAAAGTCAAAGGTCTTACTAATTTAATAATAGGAGCCTGTCAGTGGCAAAAACAAGCACTTTTAAGTGGACATACTGTACATTGAAGGTTACATTGCAGCCTGTTTATGCCGGCTGCAGCGTTCGCCCTTTAATTTTCAGAAAATCTCACAATAATAATGGTTATCATAGCTTCCGGCTATGACAGACATTAGTCTGACAGAGTGTCATTTTGGTGATTGTTTAAAGGAAATATGCTTTTCAACCCTGCCGGTGGGTTTTGGGGTTCATATCATTGACTGTAAAGCTCAAAGCTCACAATCTCTTTTGGTATTTTTTATTTATCCACAGTCCTAACACGCTGATGTGCTTATGAATATGGGAAGTTAATTTATAGTTAAAGATGAAGTGAATTTTCACAACATGCTCATTCTTTTTTTTTTTTGGATTGGTTGAAGACTAGGTTGAATTTCAGTCTTCTGCAGCCCCAAAAGTTGACTTGATAAAAGTAAAGCTCAGTCTCACCTCAGAAGCCCGAGGGAAGCCCAGGTCCAGAGCACAGTGATGTGGACTGCTGCTCAGACTGCTGCCCCCACCCCTCTCTGCTCCCCCACCACCTCCTCCTCCTCCAGCCCCGTGAGCCGAGGCCGGTCTGACCAGGCCCACCAAGGAGGTGCGGAGCTGAGCTTTGTTTTGGCCGTAACCCTGCTTCTCCCCCAGGAGGGGCCTGGGCTTTGGGAGGGTGGACACTGGATCCCTCATCAGCCACGCTGAGGGCCTGTGGATGCCGGACGGGTCGGACACCTGGGGAAAAAGGAGGTTGAAAGGTCAAAGGACTTGTCTGCAGTAAATGTGCAGTTTCACTGTAAGATGACAAAAATGTTGAGGCATCTAAAAACTCCGCCTCACCTCTGAGTAACTACGGCGACCCTGGAACTTCGCTCGTAGGCGGCTACAGGTTGGCTGATGGGTGTAGGAGGCGGGGCCGCCGCTGGGGGAGAGAGGAGGGGAGGGGGTGGGGAGGAGACTGTCGGGGGAGAGCGAGGGCCGCCGGGGGGAGGTGGGGGATAGATGCTGAGGAGCAGTGGTCTGACGAGAGACTGAGGGAGGAAGAGAGAACGAGAGATCATCGTAAAAGGATTGTAACCTGAAAACATTTTTTGCATTTTGCTTGGTGTAGATTTTTTTTTTTTAACCTAGCTTTGTTTTTTTAACACTCAATGGCTGGAGGAGAAACGGATTTGTGAGTTGGGATTTAACCGTGAGATTAAACTCTTTGTCAACAAAGAAAGGAGGCTGGAGTTTGTCTTTAAGTGAACAGCATTTGATAAGTCAACTGTTTTTTTGTTTTTTTTACATCTAATATCTGAATGGCCCGTGCCCTCGAGTGTGTAGCAGAATGCATGTTGCTGCTGTTGTTTTCATGTTGCTTAACAGGAACACGTGCAGTGCCTCAGCTGTTTTTTGTTTTTGTTTTTTTTGTTCCGGGTTCAGAGGTCACAGCCCGTTGTCTCCTACGTGAGCGCAGAAAACATTATATTTCCTACAATTTAAGCTTCTGCATTTTCCAAATTCACTAGTATTATTCAAAGGTATTCTTCGGTTCGTAAGCCTCGTACCGAACAGTTTAATACGAATACGTGTGTTCAGCTGCAGGACAGCAGTGAAGGCCCAGGTATAAAATGCATGGCCCGCCACTGCGCTTTAGCAACTGTAAGGTTGATGAAAATACATGAGTTACTGTGTGTAACTCGGCCACACCTCTGTATCATGGCCGCTGATATTAAGATGACTAGCAGAGGCTAAGTATTATGACTGGCTGTGGTTGTAGGTTTAATTAGACTATGCATGGTGGGCTTTAGGTGGGCAATGCTGTTGCTGTGGTTGCAGCTGTGGCTGTCGCCATGTTACAGAGGCTGTGACACACGGTGTGTACACACTTACTATGGTTGTTACATTTTGGTCAAACTGCGAAGTGGTAAACTAAACTCACTGCCAGGTGAAGTCACGATGACAACATTTTCTACTCCATCTTGATTTCACCGTCGCACTGACTACCCCACATCGCATTTCCTCACCTGGTTATAGCACAAGCATACCCCTCCGTCCCCTACAATTAACACTAGCTCCCCCTGGCGGCTTGGTGGGTCTCCTACTCCACTCCCCGACTCATGAATTTTCCTGTCAGAACCACCAACAGCACTCGAAAACAGCACTCTACTGAAACCACTCTCTTGAGGGTTTCGAATGATATTTTAATGTCTTCTGATGCAGGTGACTGCTCTGTGTTAGTACTTCTCGACCTCAGTTCTGCATTCGACACTGTAGATCATAACATCTTGATTAAGAGGCTACGTGATTGGGTGGTTATATCTGGCATAGCGTTGGACTTATTTTCACCCTACCTCGCTGACAGAAATTTTATCGTCTCTGTGGGAGACTTTGTGTCTGTTACCTCTCCACTGTCTTGTGGTGTACCGCAGGGCTCGGTTCTGGGGCCTCTGTTATTTTCCCTATATTTTTTACCTTTGGGACAGATTATAAAAAGTTATAATGTTGCATATCATTTATATGCAACTCCGTCTTTCCTTCAAACCCAGTGAGGCTTTCAGGTTATCAAGGCTCAATGCTATTAGGAACTGGACGGCAAAAAAATAGTTTACAACTATCCAATAGTAACCAATCCATGTCGTTTGACCCCCATGTTAAGCAGCTGTCTAGATCTTGTTTTTTCCACCCAAGAAATATTAGTAAACTGAGATCTGTAGCATCAACAGCTGAACTAGAGATGATCATACACACCTTAATTGCTTCTCGCATTGATTACTGTAAAGAACTTTTCTCCTCACTCAGTGCATCTGCTCTAAACCGTTTGCAGGCAATCCAGAATGCTGCCGCCAAATTACTCACTAGGACAAATAGAAGGTCTCACATCACCCCCATACTCGGATCTCTTCAATGGCTCCCTGTAGCATATGGGATCCACTTTAAAATGCTCACTCTCCCTTACAGAGCACTACAAGGCCAGACTCCTACATATGTGGCTGAACTACTTTGCCCTCATTTTCTCAGGTCTAACTTGTTAAATTTGTCTGTCCGTCCCACGCACTCTCCTCTATAGCCCGAGCGAGCCCTATTTGGGGAACAAGTACCGGTACCGAAGTTCCGAATGGACTTTTCATCAAGAAATATGAAAAATGGTCCAGACATGTAAAATATCGAAGAAAAAAAAAGGTCCGGGCAAAATCATCATGCAAGCCATTTTACACAATTATACACAAACTAATACAATACACTAGAAGATTTATCACAATATCAGTATTTATCTCAAAAAAATCCGCCAACTATGCATCCGAAATTCATCTTTCATCACAAAGCCGGCAGCGAAAATGGCGGAAGGATACATGATTTCGCACGAGGGCTCGATACGGTGTCGACCCAGCGTGTACAAATAGACCTCCGACAAAGCATTCAAAAGTCACAGGACAAACCCCAAGAAACCACACACTGCTCTCGAGAAAAAAAATTGAAAATCTGCATACCTTTTTGTGATTTTCGTCCCGAAAAAAACAGTTAATCAATTGAAAGTTGCTGCAGCGCTGTAGTGCATTTCCTGGTTTGTCTGCCTGCATTGAAATGAACGTGCTGTGACCTGGCATGCGAAAATGGCCCGCATTTTTCGCCTGGACCAATCTATTTTTCGCATGGGGGTCAAGCCCACCTTATCAAGATTTTTACTGACTAATGTCCTTCAGCTTTCAAAATAACACCCCTGACGGCTTTCAATGGACTATTCCGGACCTAACAACGTGTCATATAATTAAATCCACCAATCACAGGCCTTACAAATCCCACATACACACTGAGTCAGAGCAGTTTTTTTTCATATTGGGGACATATGACTTCTGGAAATAACTGAACATGGCTGAAAATTATTGCAGACTGCTTTATTACGATGTATTGAACACTCTTAGTGATAAAGCAAGTGAATATATAGTTAATATGTAGTTATATAGTATATAAAATTAGAATAGAGCAGTGCAAAATCTGGTTCCAAAAATGAAAATTTGGCTTGAAATTCTGTACTCAGACCTCATTTATGCTGGCCTGCTTAGTAAAATTAGCTTGGACAGACCACAAACCTGTTGTGCTATGACTGTGGAGTATTTTTAGGCTTCAATCTGCATTATTTAAAAAAAATAAGTTCAATAAAAGTGCTTTTTTTTCAGGCGAACCAGGAACTTTTCAATTTGAGCTGTGTGCCATCTTCATTCACTATTAACCAGTAACATATACACAATATTTACACATCTGTACAAGTCTCTCACAAGTTTTACCTGTATTATACCATCAGAATTATTAAAATTGACCTTGTAGTTTCAGATCTACAGTCTAAAAGGTATGGGTATGCAATTTTCGAGCAGAGGCCTAAAAATAGGACTAGGGCTATATTAACCTTTGGTTACCTTGGTGACCAAGCTATGGAATGCTCTGCCTGAACCCCTACGGATTGCTGATTATGTGAATTTGTTTAAAAATCAGCTCAAGACACACCTGTTTAGACTTGCGTTTGGGTAGAATTCATGGTCTAGGTCGGCTTTTTATTAATGTTTTTATTGTGTATTTTATTGTTTATTGTACCTTTTTCTTCAATACGTTTCATGTTTTAAAAACTGTTTTTGTAAATTAGTGGCCCTTGTTCCTGCCGTAGCTGAAACGATAAGTATATAGAATAAATATAAGTATACTTATACGTATAAGAATATAGAACTTTTTTTTTTACAATGAGGCTCATTTGCATCGAGATGGACCGATCTTTGCGCAAAACGTCTGCATATTACCTCATTTAAATACGTGCAGATAGTGGCGACAAGTTAAAAGTTAATTTCTTTGAGAATTACACCATTTCCATTTTGTCTCGTTTATGCAGGTTTAGCGGCCACAAAATCGGCACAATCCGTTTGTTGAATACATGCAATAGAAAGTCCTACCGGACTCCTGTGAGACTTGTCGCAGAAGGTCACTCTGTTTAACCGCCAGGTTACGAATGTGGCCCAGCTCCTCCGTTAGCTCAGTGTAGGCTAATGCTAGGTTCACCCTGCAACGCAAAGAGAGTGACTGAATAAATAAATAAATACATAGAAATGACAAATACTATAGACTGCTTTCAGAATAAGACTCACTGCTCGTCCCCGGCTTTCTTTATCCACTCTACGTCACAGTGCTCACAGTGTTGGGACAGGTCCTGTGACTGACAGAGACACAAAGATGTGGTTAGAGCAGCAGCACTTGTTTGTCTAAGACATTTCTATTGATTTGTTGTTCTACATGTGATCTATATACTCCACCACTACATGTATTTTTACTTATTGATTTTATCTATGTACAGCCCCAAACCATCCTTCAAACTCTGCTCATGCTTAAGTTGTATGGAAAGCCGAAAGTGACATTAAACGCCTCTATTTTTTCACGATTTATGTTTAAGAACGCTACTTTTGATTTTTTGGTTGTAAACGCCACAAAAAAACATTTTTAATATAAGTCGTGTGGAAATAGAGGCGCTTAATGTCTCTTTCGGCTTTCCATAAAGTTGGAGGTTGGAGCTACAGAAGAAAGTCTTTCGGGCACAAACTGGACATTCAGCATGTTTTAGCCAACTGACCAGCAAGCAACATATCAATCTACATGACATCTGAAAACATATGGTTTGAAAATGGTCTGTATCCATGTAAAAAAGTGTTAAAACGTGTTGTAAATGTATCTATGTATTAGAGCTCCAACATTCAACTAAAAGTACTATGTCAAAGTAGCCTACTACTTCCATGGTCAATAATGAACTTTCATTCTCAACATACACTTTTAGATTTGCACCCAATGGTATCTTTTTATGTAACGACATTTGGAGAGATATGGAACTTGGGGAAATGTAAAATCATGTGCAACATGTAATTTAATGCAACTTTGAGCAGTGACTATTATAACAACTCTTCTTGGTGCTGTACTGAAAGCAGCTCTGACAAACTGATGTGAAGCATTGTGTTGATGAGCCATGGTGTAGTTATATTAAACCCTGAAAGGACAAAGCTGGTCATATTTTGTAATTTTCTTTTTTCTTTAGCAACAAATTGAAGATAATAAGATGGCTTTGTTGTTTTAACTGGCTTTCAGGGCTTCTGCAGTTTGCTGGAATTTAGCCTATTCCTGCCATGCTGTTAAAAAGTTGGCTTTTAAAAAAATATAATATAAAAATATATATATATATATATATATATTAGGGCTGGGCAAGTTAACGCGTTATTATCGCGTTAACGCATTAATTAATTAACGCCGTAAAATTTTTTATGGTGCATTAACGCAGTTTTTCTTTTTTATTATTAAGCAGATGTAGTAGGTTGGAAATGCTACATGTTAGTTTTTATTAAAACAGACCCCTCCACAATTTCTTTGTTAATAATTGAACTATTCTAACACTCTTCAGACTTTATATCGAGATAATACACGATCACGTCAGTAGATGGCGCTTTGGTGCTGCTGTGGATCCATTAGAGAGAACGTAGCTACAGGCTCCGCTCATGCGCAGCTCAGAATAAAACTAGCTCTGACCTGAGCATGACGCTAACGTTGGTCCTCTCTCTGTATTAATCCACAGGTATGCAAAACGTGTTTTCTGTCCGTAACTTGAGTTATGATCGAATGTAAATACAGTTAAATGTTTTGTAATGTTGTAACATGATTGGAGATGTGTGATAAATGTAGTTAGCTATATTTTGTAGCTAGTTGTTCTGACGATGGTTGTAATGCTACCTAGCTAGTTCTGTCCGTGAACTTCAGTGTTACACCGTAGCTGTTAAATGTTAGTAGAACTGGATGTGGAATATATTTGAATTCATGTCAATTTGTTGTGTAAATTGTGAAATGTTATGATCTGCAATGCAGCTCAGAATAAAACTAGCTCTGGCCTGAGCATGACGCTAACGTTAGTCCTCTCTCTGTATTAATCCACAGTTAGATCAGTTGGCTACACAGTGCTTCCTAGCCTGTGTAACCTTTGCTGCCGGTCCAGATTTCCCCTTGGTCTGGTGCCGGTAACACAGACATTTTTAACACAAGAACCGGGCAGCGAGCAGTGAACAGCTGTGTTTGTGTGGCGTCTCTTCCTTCTCTTCCTGCTGCTGCTGCCCCCCTCCGGGTGACACGTCTCGTTACAGGATCAAACGTGACAATATTAAAATACATATTGTCGTGTTTTTAAATAAACATAAGCACGTGAGAACAAACTCCTCTTAACTGCAACTCTTTATTAGCATAACTTCCACGTTCACGTTACTGCCACGGTACAGACTCCCTCCAGGTTCCCATCCTTCACCTACATTCCCCTGGGTCCTAAGTCCCTCCATGTACAGCTTCTTATCACCCTCTATGTACCAATGTACATTTATAACAAATACCACACATATTACGGTAATCAGCGTGGCATATGTCTGACCAAAATACCAAAAAAAAGCAAAAATTCATTTAAATTCTTTTTTTTTTAGTTTTTAAAGTTTTTTTGTTTGGAATATGTATAATAAGCATATCATTTAGTTATCGCTACTGAGAATTCAACAAACATGACGTAGATAGGTTTGCAGTTTTCAAGGTGTATATTTCAAATTGCATCTATTACACACATGAAGATAAAGTTGTGAACACTGGCTGAATATCTATTATCAGAATCATAACTGTATTTTAACTGCTACTGTGTAAAGGGAATACTGCTGTTAAAAATAAAATTATTTGTTTAAAGTGTTTGCAAACCAAATGTTATTGCACTTTTGTTCATATAGCAGTACTTTTTAAATAAAAGTGCACAATACACTACTTTTGAATTCATTATTGAATTTTGCGCATAATAATGCGATTAATCGCAGTAAATCATGCGATTAATCGCGATTAAAAATTTAAAATGTTGCCCAGCACTAATATATACGTATATAACTAATGACTGTAAATGTAGATTGTATGGAGGTGAAATGTTGCCCCCTATTTGTTTGGAGGATGTGGCACCAACTGGATGAGTTTTCAGTCCGTGCTCATGGCATTATCTGACCATGGAAACCTTTCTGCTGCAAAACAGAAGTCACAAACACAACAACACAACATCTGAGAGACATCATGGGCAAATAGTTTAGTCTACTTTTTATTTACAATCATTTTTGTATAGTTCCTCATGTATTGCCAAATTTCTAACCAATCAATGAATACAACATTAATTTCAATGCATTGCATTTTGTGTTGAAATACCCTTAGTTATGAACTTAAGTCCCTAACAATGTGACAAAGTGGCCAGAGTCTGGCGTCAGCAGTTGAGATAACGGTTTGATAGCATCATGTGACATCTAACATCTAGTTTTTGAAGCAGCAGGCCCACCTGTCTCTGCGCTCCACGTAGCTGGGCCACCTCCTGCTGCAGTCTCTGGAACTCGGCCCTCAGCTCTGTCTCCCTTCGACAGGCGGCCTCGACCTGGCGCCGGGCCCCCTCCAGCTCGGCCTCCAGACGCTGCAGCTTCAGGTCGGACAGGGCGTCCAGACTGCGGGAGCTCTGCAAGGTCGGCCCGCGGCCCTCTGAGGAAAAGCACACATCTTTTCTCCCTGGTTCTAGTCTTTTTCTTACAAATCACCACTCCACAGTGATATCAGTGGAGGAATAAACTTGTGATTCTTAAAGCATGAATCGTATTGTCTTTTTCATAGTTGGCTACTAGTAATGTTGCTAAGCATGCATACATTTCTATTCTAATGCAAATTATCTTATAGAATGTTAAGTTAACAAAAACCTTTGAAACAATGTCTTTGATTGGCTTTTTGTTAAATCCTTCCTTGAGCAGCAATTGACCAGTCGTAGCTTAGCATCCATAACAAGGCACAGCAGGCCAGCCTCTTTCTTTTACAAGTGTCTTGAACCTGCATTCTCTCTAATGTCCATCAGGGGGAGACTCCTCTGGTTGTATAGAAGTCTATGAGAAAATGACTCTACTTCTGTCTTGATTAATTACCTCAGTAAACATTGTAAACATGAGTTTATGGTCACAATCTTTAGTTTCAAGTCTTATTCAATACAGCATGATGTTCATTTTCATTTATCCGATCTGGGAGTTGTCCGTTTTTTCCATCTTGCAACTTTAACCCTTTTACAGTGTCTTTTTAGTTTCTAAAAGTTAATTTAAACTTTTAAAAATGTCTTATAGCGTTCAGATGTACTTAGCTCAACCCTCTCTTGTCACTTATGCTTCCAAAAAAAGCAAGATGGCGACGGTCAAAACGCTTCAAAACTGCAGTTCATAAACCAATGGGTGACATCTCGGTGACTACTTTTTATCTACAGTCAATGGTCTTTTACCATGATATCATGTCACAAAAGTGAGGGCCGCCAGCTAGAAATGAAAAGCTGCTTCTCTGCCACTATCTGAAATGAAGGCCCCAAAAAAACTTACAAATTCCATTGGTAAATCTGCCATTGTCTTCTGAGAAGCCTGCATTGAAAAGTGTTTGGAAAAGGGCACGCACTTTAAAAAAAGAAATACCTGGCAGTTGATTGGATGCAGCATCTACGCTAACCTCTTTAGGAGCTGCCATTTTTGTTTTGAAAGAACAGTCGCCTCTCTGAGTTGTCTCGCACACACCTAAGCCACGCCCCTAGCTACCAGTAGCTCCTCACAGGACTTTGATTGGTCCGTGCTCTGGCTCGCGCGGGCTCAAACGCATCCCTTGATGCCTGACAAGATGGATTTTGACTATCCTTGCGTTCCTTGCGCGACCTCTTGACATCACGAGAATTCAGCTGCCGTGCAAGGTAACTAAGGAGGCAGGAATTCTAAAATGGTGTATTATATAGTTTGTGTTTTTTTTTTATTTATGAGTCTTGTGGTAGGTAGAGCTTAGAGGGTCAATTTAGGTGACCAGACACTTGAAGCAAGTGGTATTAACTGCTGGTAAATGGCTGGGAGCACTAAGTCGTCGTAGTACTACTACTTCTATTATTATGAGTGAAACGAATTTCTGCTGCTACTACTTTTATCAATTTTATTATTACCACCATAATCTACTAGTGTCTGCTGTTAATCCAAAGAGAACTCACCCCTGGGGACATCCAGGCTGGCGTGGAGCTGAGACTGAAGTGTGTCTTTGCCGCGGAGATGAGCGCTGAGCTTCTGGAGGGAGGTTTCTCTCTGTCTGAGGGCCGACTCCAGACCGCAGATCCGCTCCACGTGCTGCTCCGCTAGAGTCGTCTGACACAAACACACACGAAAAACTGAAACCAAAGTTGCTCCTCAACGCTTGAATATAGAACAATATTATGTTGTGTGTGTGTGTGTGTGTGTGTGTGTGTGTGCGCACATTTACCATCTTGTCCAGGTCTCTTTGGACATTGCTTTTCTCCAAGTGAATCTTCTCATAAGCCTGGATGACTTCCTCCAAACTTTCTTCTCTTTCCTTACTCTTCTGGAGCTAAGACAGGAGAGGTTATGGCTAGATGGTAAATGGACTGTACCCATGTAGAGCTTTTCTAGTCTTCCGACTACTCAAAGCCCTTTAACACTACATGTCATCATTCACCCATTCATACACCGTAGGCACAGCTTGCGGGAGCAATTTGGGGTTAAGTGTCTTGCCTAAGGACACATCGACACGGACTAGCAGAGCCGGGGATCAAACTGCCGATCCTCTGATTGAAGGACGACCCGCTCTACCGCTGGGCAAGGATCCGTCTTATATACTATATACATTACACACTGGAATTTTAAGCCCTGTTTAAAGTTTTCAATTTGTTGCTCTATTTAAAAGGTTTACGCTTGAAATTCAATTACTGTTCATTTTAAAATAAAACATTTTAATTGGTGTACAATTTATCATTTTAGTAATTAACAGTTATTCACTCAATTTAAATCTATGTATTTATTTGTTACATTTAGTTTTTACAAAGTTAGGAAAGCGATGTTTGAGTCAAAGAATGATTCCTGTCAATTCCACACAGTGAGGCTTACAGCTTATCCATTTAACTCTGGTATCTGATCGGTACTCGATATCCAAAGCCCAGGTATCGGGACTGAAGACGTTGGATTTCTGAATGGCGATGCGCTCAGTTGCATTCAATTGAAGAAAATATCGAGACACTTGAGTATGGCAATCACCTTGCTTACAGTATCGCGATATATCGCAATATATTGAATCATGTATCGTATTGCGAGATTCTTGCGAATACACAGCCCTAGTACATGTTGTGTAATTCAACATGCCATAAAGGTTTAAGGATCAAAAGGCTCCCGCCTCTCAGTAGGTAAATGCTTCTGGTAGCTGTGTAACCTTGCCAGTTGTTGAGAGATATGCTTGAAGTTAGTTAGTTCAGCACTCCAAAGACATAAAACTATATCTATGAACATGTTATGTTGTGCCTTATTGAAATGCTAATAGGAAGCATAATGAGTGAATATGGAGCATTTTATAGAGCTACAGAGATATAAATGTGTATACATATATATATATATATATATCAATATATATATATATATATATATATATATATATATATATATATTGTATCGGGCTGTAATGATCAGAGTTCACTACACGGTAATGATTTTATCGAATATCGAAAGTAACGTCCATCAAGTTTATCTTTGTTCATTGTATGTTTTTTTGGCAAATGAATTAGACTCAAAATACGAGTGACGGGAGGTGGAGAGAGTTTGTAAACATCATTGTATACATATAAAAAGATTTAAAGAGTATTATTAGTGCTGGGCAACGAGTAAAATATTTAATCGCGATTAATCGCATTGTTATGGCAAAGTTCAATAATGAATTCAAAAGTAGTGTATTGCACACATTTTAAAAGTACTGCTATATGAACAAAAGGGCAATACCATTTGGTTCACGAGATGCAGGTAGCATGTTTTATACTTAATGTGAATATAATTCATACTGTTGGCATTTTATTCTGAAAACCGGATGTTCGTCTGAAGAAACCGGATGTTGTCTCACGTTAATCTTTCCGCTAACTTTCAAAGTCCTTCGCTCGCTCCCGATCTGTGCCGTTTAAATGCGTTTACCGTGAATTTCAGCATATAGGTGCACTAAAATTACTGACTATAGGATGTTTGCTGGCTTTTATCCCACTGTTCTTGTCATCCTCTTGTTATGTATATGTATTGTCTCTTGTCTTTCAATAAAAAAATAAATAAAAAATAAAAAATTATAATAAATTAAATAAATGCGTTAACGCAAAATTAACGCGTTAACTTGCCCAGCACAAATTATTATACGTGTATTATTGATATCAATATTACATTTTTGAAATATCGCGGTTATCGTCAATACCGGTACGTCGTGACACCCCCAATGCAGTATAAATACTGTATATTATGTATCAATGTGATCTCACATAAATACGTAAAATAACCACAACCTTTGACACAGCATTACATTGTGGTGGCACAAAACATAAAAATTAAGTGTGTCAGTGTTTTCTTTTCTTTTTTAAGTTACTTAAAAAATTAAGTATTTACTGAAAAAAGTATGTTTTTCAGTAAATACGTTTTTCAGTAAATACTATTTTGGCGATTAACAAAGGTAGTCCCTTACACCAAGCATCCACGTAGGTCATCCAACCAAAACCTGTTGGCATCTAAAAATGCACTTCTCTAAGTTGTATTTTCTATAAATTCCATAAATGTTCAAGTTTAAGGGTTGATCTGGGTGTTAACTGGTTCCTGTGTTCTTAAGGTCCTTGTGTTTATATTTCTAATTTGTTTTTTCTTTAATGCACATTGCGCTTGGTATTTGTGTTTTTCTGAACTGATGTTACAGAAAAGCACTTTGTAACCCAAGTATATAAATGAAGTTTTACTTAGTATGAGTGAGACAAAAGTTGTATCGTCTTCACTCATGCTGCTCCCTCACCAATGCAAATCATTCAGTGTTTGAACTGACCAGGGATCAGAGAAAACGCTACAACAGATTGGTTCTGTACAATCGCATGTGTTGAAAACACTGGAACCCATTTTTCCTGCCATCCTTCCTTCCGTTTCACACTCCAGCTCAGCAATACTTCCATGTAACTACATTTCTGCAGAGTACCTCCTGAGTGAGAGCGTTGATCCTCTGTTGCAGGTTGGTGGTCTCTGATTGGATTACACTGGTGTCCTTGACGATGGGCTCACAGGAACAGCACAGTATCCTCTCCTCTCCAAATTCACTGACCATAGGAAACTGCAGGAAAGGAGATCAACTTTCCAGAAAATAATGCATTCACACATCATGAAAGCTTTATTATATCTAATCCTGTTCTATTTCGTACGTGTGTGTGTGTGTGTATGTATGTGTGTATGTATGTGTGTTGCTCTCCACCTTGACCTCGTAGTGTTTGAGCTTCCTCTTGATGCTGCTGTTCTCCCTCTCCAGACTGGCCAGCCGGGTCTTGATGTCATGATATGCGGCGGCCAGGGCCAACCCTGACGCCGGGTACATGTCCTCTGGCAGCCGATTGGCCGGCCAGCTGATCCCGGGAATGCCCACGTCGTCCCTCAGCCCCTCTCCTCCTCCCAGCAGCCCCAGCTCTCCTCTGCGGAATAGATCCATCATCAGATAGCTGCGGGAGAGGGGGAGAAACGGTTGTAGTCAGTCTCTGTGAAACGTAGTGCAGAAAACACTTTGGGCTGACTGACAAGACCATGTCGGCTCAGTAGGTCACTTTGCACCCTCCACCTCACACAGCGGGGGCAATAATGGCAAATCTGTCAAGCCCCACGTCCTGGCATAGGTGATAGTTGCAGAGCGAGTGTGTGTGTGTTTTCAAAATGTTGCCAGGGGCCGAATGAGTCTGCAAGGCAAACCTTTGCTGTTTCCCATCTGCTGCCGTAAAGTACATTCTTTATTTTCTTTTCCTGCCCGGTCTCTCAGTGACGGTTTCAACGGTAATGGTAAAAAATATGATTCCCCACCACGAAAATAGGAAAAATTGAATTTCAAAACTACACCTGCAAAAGATGGGATCAATAAGGATCATTGGTTCTATTTTACTCTTGGGCATCACTGTACATTCGATTGCCAACAGAAATGCCCAGCCAGTGTGTGTGTGTGTTCAGAAATTTGAGGTTTTTCCAGCCGTTCAAAAGATGTAGATCTCCACTATTGTGGGCAAGTGTGATGTCTTGGTCGTCATGACGGACTGGATTGGTTGATTAAAAAAAAAAAGTTTAACTACCTTGTCCAAAATTGGTAAGATGACATCTTGTCGTTCTCCCTCATGGAAAAAAAGACCTGACTGCTGGACACAAGATGTCTCCTTCCATTCTCATTGTTTGTGACCTAGAGGTTTCATGTGTTCATATCATACTTAAGCAAGTTGTATACTAGACCTTGATTGGCTTCATTCACTGTTGAATATAAAAGTGCTAACTACAACCATATAGCGTTCTTAGGCTTGTCCCCATAAGGGCACCCTTTTTTGGTTGCTGGTGGAACTTTTTAAAAGTTTACATCTGGAAACCTTACAGAGGGTTCTACCTGAAACCCAACATAATGGATTATACCTCAAACCATTTGTGAAAGGTTCCACCCATAACCCCTAAGAGAGGGTCTACAGAGAACTCTTCTCTGATGTAATGGTTCCATCCAAAACCCTCTCTGGGGTTTCTTTACAGAACCTCACCACTTCTAAGGGTGTTAATGAGAACGCAACCAGGGGACTACCAAGTACCCTTTAACATTCCAAGAATTTGATCGGACCCAGGGTTCCTCATGAAAGGACAGCAACCCACAACAATCCTGGTTTACAATCACAGTTTTTATGTGTGTGTGATGGGGGTGTTTGTGCAGCCTAAATCCACATTTTACGGATCTAAACAACCGAAAAGTAAGCAGTGAGAAGAAAACAAATTCCAGGCATCCAAATGCCTCTTTAGAAACCTGAACACTGGTGAAGTCACAGATGTGTCCATGTTGTTAAATGATCTATATGGATGAGACAGAGGTCTGACAATAAGAACTGCATTTAGCAAGACCTCATGTAGAGAAGTCTTCAGAGCTGAGCCGGAGGAGATCTGGATGGAACGTCTGCAGTCCATTAATATTTCAAACATGAGCACGGGTTCACAACAGCCATACCACTTCCTTTACAGCATTGTACAGTATGCAGTGTTTCATAATCATGTTATGACGCATATTTTTTTCATAAAACAGAATAAATTATGTTGAAGTGAGACGTTGTGTGACAATGTGCACCATACAACCTCTTTAGCCGTGTTCAGACTGAATGTGAGGTGAATTTTGGATGCAGTGCAAGTGCACATAATGCAAAAACGTGTGTTGACTCAACTAATTTAAATTTTTTGTGCTGGTGGATGCAAACTGAGGCATGTCCACATGAATCCACATGAGTTAAAAATGTTTCCACTTGAGTGAAATTTTTTTGTTTTATCCTGAGGCTTTATGCCTCTACTGTATAAACATACAGAGACAAGAGGAGAAGAAGAGGGTCAGGAGAAACACTGCAGAGAGAACCGGAGTTCCTCGCAGGCTACAAGATGCGTCACAAGCTGAGCTCTCACACAAACAGGCACTTACTGTTCCTGGTTGGTGCGTATGTTGCTAAAAAGCCAGTAGGATAAGCCAGCGAATAAACAGACTGCGAAGGTAGTCCAATGATATAATTCACATGGTGTTAATCATGCCTTTACACTTACTGTTGGATATAATGATGCAAAGAATGGTTGGGGGTAAAACTTGAAAATGTTATTAAATAGGGAGGAATCCGTACGGAAGCTCTGTAGCGATTTGGTAAATATAACGGACAAAGAAAAGGTAATGTAGAGGTTGGAAAGGAAGGTTTTCTTTACAAGGTGTATACATATCTGTCGAGGATTATTGTTGTAGTTTCTGGCATCTCTCTCTGTTGTGTCTCTTGCCTCAAAGATCACAGGTACAAAACCAGTGGCGGGCCGTGCATTTTATACCTGGGCCTTCACTGCTGTCCTACAGCTGAACACACGTATTCGTATTAAACCGTTCGGTACGAGGCTTACGAACCGAACAATACGTTTCAATAATACTAGTGCATTTGGAAAATGCAGAAGCTTAAATTGTAGGAAATATAATGTTTTCTGCGCTCACGTAGGAGACAACGGGCTGTGACCTCTGAACCCGGAACAAAAAAAACAAAAACAAAAAACAGCTGAGGCACCGCACTTCTGGGAGGCTATGCTAAACTAGCTTAACGGGAAAACAACAGCAGCAACACGCATTCTGCTACACCCTCGAGGGCACGGGCCATTCAGATATTAGATGTAAAAAACAAATGCAGTTGACTTACCAAACGCTGATCACTTAAAGACAAACTCCATCCTCCTTTCTTTGTTGACAAAGAGTTTAATCCCACGGTTAAATCCCAACTCACAAATCCGTTTCTCCTCCTTCACCCATTGAGTGTTAAAAAAACAAAGCTAGGTAAAAAAATAATAATCTACACCAAGCAAAATATAAAAACTGTCATAATTTCTTCCATATCTTTCAATTTGAACTCTTACTACTCCAACTAAGCTTTGCCAGTTTCCTTAAGTTTTGTTTCACAATAGTCACGTGCTCGCCCACTGACCAATCACAGCACGCTGCTCCTTAAAACTGAGCTGCCCGTTAATGCTGACGTACTTGTAGGCCAGTTTGAAGGCTCTGGCACGTCAAAGAATAAGCCCAACATGTCAAACTAAAGATCTGATTGGTTGAAGACTATGACAATCAACAATATCGTCCCCATTCACTTAAACTGCAAAGGGATTCACTTGTGAGTCTGCAGGCCTGGGGCCTCTCTTCTTACCTAGAGACACAGAGGTGAAATCTGATTGGATAAAAGCTCTACTTAAAATAAGCTGCACTGGAAGCAGAGCAACTGAGGAAGACAGTAGCTGTGCAATGAGAAAATGAGAAAAATATTTTTATAAATTATAATAGGCCTACATGTAGTGTATTTAAGAAAAATTATTTAATTATAAAATAGCTATAACTTTGTGATTCTGTTTAGGCCAGCAGAGAAGGCCTTGCTGGCCCTGACGGCCCACCACTGTACAAAACAAAGTCACGCAAATTGTTCCAGAAGGTGTAAGTTGCTAACTAGCATACTTACTAGCTTGTGAGCATTGACAGCAATGACCAGCAAAAGTGGCGAAGGCGGAGTTACTTATAGCTTGAATATGTTTATATGTGGCATTCTGGTAGTGGTGCACACCGTATACTCGGCTAGCCAAAGTTTTTTGAAACAGAAAATATAAGGAGTCACGGGTCAAACAGTAGTTGGCCGAAATGCGTAGTTTTCAACCAGTTACAGTGGAAGAAAGTCAGTATTTATGGACCCAGCCCTGTCTAATAAAAATGTTAAGTCCCATCCAACAAAACTGCATTGTGAATTATCATTCTAGAGGGAAACTTATTTTGTTGTAGATTAAGTTTGCTTTTGACGTATCGCAAATTGTTATCCGAGTCCACATGGGGAGGTCAGGGTAGTATATGTCAAAAAACATAGGGCTATTACTCAGGAGACTGCAGTTGTAAATGTAATGTTTTTTTGATGTTTTTTACTAAACCTGACCAAGTTGTTTTGTAGTGTTTTTTTTATTTTGTTTTGTTTCAATTTACGTTAACCACGTGTTTCAAACAGTTAAAAACTGCATCCGTAATGCGGAAGGAAATGTATTTCCCTTGAAACATAATTGAGAGTGCAGTTTTGTTGCATGGGAACGTGATTTTGTAGGAGACAAAAAACATGTGGGACTGATGTTTAGTTTCATAGTGTCTTCTAATATTACACTCTTTCGTCACCGCAACAGATTCCTTGCAAATTAAGAAAGTACCCTTCCCCTTGACCTCTGTGAAAAATGTCCCCAATCTTTTTTTAAATTTTTCGTCAATCTTCCAATTCATCGCTTTGCCATGTTTATCTAATGAACTGAGGTTAATGTTGTCATCGACTAGCAATCCATGTTGGTCAAGCAGTTAACGTAAAGTGTTTAAACTAAGAAGTGCAACGTACAGTGCAATTTTTAGAAAAATAACCACACTTTATTTTCAGAGATTCACCACTGGCTGTAGTTCCGCTGCCATTTTGAACAACTCACTGACAGTGAATACTACTCGATGAAAACATTTACCGTAGTTCATAAGTTCATGTCAGAACCAGGCGGCAACCTCCGGTTCTGCCGAGTGAAGCCGATGAGGAAGTGTCTTAAAACCTGCACTCTCTCTACTGATCAGCAGGGGGTGACTCCTCTGGTTGCAAAAAGTAGTCAGATTGTATAGAAGTCTATGAGAAAATGACTCTACTTCTCACTTGATTTATTACATCAGTAAACATTGTAAACATGAGTTTATGGTCTCAATCTCTAGTTTCAAGTCTTCTTCAATACAGCATGATGTTCATTTAGTAAATGATGGTCTATTTAGAGTCACATAGACCATAAAGCAGAGTATGCTTTAGGGCGGGCTTACTGTGATTGACAGGTCACTGTCACTACCAGAGCCATATACGGCGTCTACGTCACTCCTCCACATAACTAAATATGGTCACTTCTGTATATTGGTTGCAAAAAAACCAACATGGCG